CCACACTGTAATTTGTATTTTCGTAATACAAACTGTATTATAAACTAAATATGATATTTAAGATTGAATGCAGTATTTGTTTTGTATACACTACAAAAAAAATCAAATTAGCTACGAAATTTAGTGACGAAATTTTCGTCACTAATCAAAAAACAACTTTATTCATTTACAATAATAAAGTGGTACTTTTTAATAAATCTTTGTTGTTATTCAATTACAAGGTTCTAACCTTCGACATAATAGCAGAGGTTGAGGTTCTCACCCTGAAATGCCCTCTTGATGTTCCTAGCGAGCCCTAGTTGATAGCATGACAGAGCAAACCATAATTTTATATTACTTCCGGTATTTAATATAAGAGCTAGTTTTATTTTTATTTTGGTCCTAAATATAAGATTCTAATCAATTTTGTTTCCCATATTTATCTATTTTTTTAAAGTAGTCTTTGCAATAATTATTTAATATAAGAGCTAGTTTTATTTTTATTTTGATCCTAAATATAAGACTCTAATCAATTTTGTTTCTCATATTTATCTATTTTTTTTAAAGTAGTCTTTGCAATAATTATAGTTATAGCTAATGCACTTGATAAGTAAGAATATTTTAGGAAACAGCATCTATTTAATTACACATAACTAACATAACTAATTTTCTTAATCTACTCAAATTAATCAACTAGCTCTTATATTAAAGATCAGAGGTAGTATAAATTTTCATCTTAATCCCTTAATTTTATATAAAGTATTATTTTAATCCTAATGTCATTAAAAAATGTTAACATTAAAATTTATGTGTTGGCAAAATGACATTGAATGTTCACATATCAAGTTTAATTTTTAAAATAATAATGATTGTCACACAAAAAAATCATTTGAGGTCATTGATGTTGCAATTAAAGGAATAAAAAGATATTGATAATTTTTTAAAGTTAAGGTTCAAATTGGTATGAGAGGATGACATGTAATCTGTTGCCTTTACTTTAATTCTCGTCCGTTGTCCATCTATACTTTCCAGCTGCAAATTTCTTCCTCCTCACAAAGTCCATTTAAGTGGGAAACACTTGACTTATACTAACAACCAGAGGCTTCATCAACGTAGAAAAGACGTCCAAAATAATTACTCTATTTAAGATTTTTTTTAGCACTACGTTTTGATTTGATTTCATCAACATGTAATAAAATATCCAACATTCACAATCCCCAAATTAATTCAGGGACCAATTAGAAATTTGTTGAATTTACCAACTTGATTTGGAATATTCCTATTTCAGGTGGCTTTATATGAGATTTTTCCTTATTAATTGGTTAAAGCCACCTCTATCCGCGGTTACAACTCTGACGACAAAAGATGGCCATAGCACCGACAACACGTTCATTACAAAAATTTTGTCATAAATAACTAATGAGGACTTGTGAATTCTTTAATTAAACTTGTCAATCTATATGTGATTGACGTACAACAACAAAACTTCTGTAGTTTTTTGATAAATGTTCATTGTTAATTCAATCACAAAAAGAACTTAAATATAAATTAACGAGTTCTATTTAGCAATTCACAAGTTTTCATTAACTATTTATAACAAGCATTTACAATAATAAAGTTGTACTTTTTTATAAATCTTTGTTGTTATTCAATTATAAGAAAGGTTTATGAATTAATACACCTTTGTTGTTATTCACTCACAAAACTATTGCAATAAAGTCCACTTTTCAATAAATTAATATACGTTATTCAATCATAAGATAGGTTTGCAAATTAACGCTTTCAATGTAGCAATTCGTAAGTCCCCATTTACTATTCACAACAAAACATTCACGATAGAATTGCATTATTCAATAAATCTTTGTTAATATTCAGTCACAAAATAATCTTAAGAATATACAAGTCAAATTTAGTGATTCACAAGTTCTTATTAACTATTCAAAAAAAAAAAATTGATATGAACTTGTCACCAGATTACTGACCATTGTATGACTATCGCTATCGGATCTCTTCCAGTGCTTGGTAGAAATGGCTTTAAAGAAAACCAAGTGGTGACTTGGAAAAGGGTAACAATATGACAAAATACCCTGCGTACGCAAATCCTGAATTAGATCTATAAATTAATTAATAGTTTGTTGAATTTTCTAACCAATTCAATTTTTTTTCTATTTTGGGTGCCTTTAAAGGGGATTTTCCCTTTCTTTCCAAATCAAAATATAATTAGAAAACTGGATGCAATAAAGGGGCCCTCAAAGTTGAATAAACTCTAGACTTTTCAACATATAATAGTGGCACGAGCAAAGTAGACACATTAATTTTCTTGATTTACACATATAGTCAATGTATTAATGTCCAGAGGAGGTATATGGTTCTATTAAAGTTAAAGAGGCAATAGAAGTTTGGCCAGTAGGAAAATCAAAGAATGATGAAGAACATACTTGACTGGACCAGCCACTTAAATTTCTTGACTTGATTAAATCTGATAAGTTATCTGGCAACTGAGAATCTCCACCTAAGTATTGCACCATGCACACTAGAAATAGTAGGCCTAGCTGAAGCAATAAAATGTGAACACAGCAAGCCAAGTTTGAGAACCAATTCAGCTTCATCCACTTCATATGCATCCCCCAATCTGCCATCAACTGCTTCACAAATGTCTCCTTTATCCCAACAATCCATAACCCATTCTATCAGCAAAACTTTCTCCGACGACGTCTAAGTTTCAACCGGCCTTCTTCCACAAGCAATCTCCAGTAATAACACCCCAAATGAATATATATATATATATATATATCGGTATATGTGTTTGATTTTCCACTCTGTACAATTTCTGGGTCTATATAGCCGGGAGTTCCTGCTACAAGAGATGTTTGAGGATCATTTCGATGGTCACATAGCTTGGTGAGACCAAAATCTCAAAGTCTAGCATTCATGTCATTGTCCATCAGTATATTGGCTAGTTTGGTGTCCCTGTGGATAAGAACTTGAACCCACTGCAGGCGAAGATATAAGAGTGCAAACGCCACATCTTCGACGATCTTGAATCTTTATTTCCAACTGAGTGTGTTGTCGTTGTTGGGAAGGCGGTAAAGAAACTTGTCTAGACTTTCATTAGACATATAGTCATAAACTAACAAAAGTTCTTTTTTCCTTTTGCAGTAGCCAAAAAGTCTTACCAAGTTTGGATGCCTAAGACGGCCGATGGTTGTGATTTCTGCGATGAATTCTTTCATCCCTTGTCTTGAATCATGAGAAATTATTTTTACTGCAATTTGAACATTGGAAAATGGCAGAATCCCTTTGTATACTCTGCCAAAACCACCCTTGTCAAGAAGTTGTGCCTCTCTAAATCCTTTTGTTGCAATGAACAAGTCCTTGTAAGTGAACCTATGAGGCCCATACAAGATTTGCCAACCTTCAAGAACTTGAATGAATCTTCTCCTCCTTACAATCATAATGGTACCACAAATAATCAAGAGTAGAAGGATAACAGCACCCACTACTGATGGTATAGCTATCAACATTTTCTTGTGTACTTTCCCTCTTCCCTCTTGTGTACTCATGTTCTTGTCTGAATAAGCCATGTTCAGGAACAAACACAGCTTGAACATGGTGATAGACATGGTCGGTTTCCTAAAGACTGGAAGTTTCTGTTTTCTGGGTTGAGGAGAATGGATCCCACGTTGGTTTTCAACTAAAACTTTCCTACGTGGGGTTTACGGTCGGTTTCTTTATTTGTTTTTCTTAATGCACAATGTAAGTGTTTTTCTAAATCAACTCATTTCGTCTGACTAATTCAAATGATTAGTTTGGGAAAGGATCATAGCCACGGGAAGTTTCATGTGTGAATGTCTTTTTAAGGTCAAAAAATTTGCACAAAATAAGAGCAGACTAAACAAACAGCGCCTGGTTTTTCCCCTCTACCATTTCCCTCTGCTACCTCTGCTTCACCGGCAACACGACACCGTTTTCTGTGTAAATAGACTGAGTTTTCGTCAACAAACAACATCATATATATATTTTGCTCACCGACCTGTAATAAAATATTTATTATTGATATTATATCCTGCGGTTTTTGTTAATATTTAGTTTTTTTTTAACAGTTCTGTCCTCTCATTACCATTCTCATTAATATTAACATGCGGGGTCTAAGTTATTTCTCCTCTCTCTCTTTTTTTTTTTTTAATCTTTACAAGTGTTAAGGCAAAATGTCAAAATATGTAAAACTAAATAATTGCTTTATCTTAAATTTGAAAATAATGATGAAACGACAGAATATAATTGTTTGAAAGAGATAAATGGGAAAACTGATTCGCAGATCCTAATAATTTACTTGAATTTTAAATCAAATTATTGTGCTCATTCTTTTGAATCAACTCCTTGTACTTTGTTCTGTTAAGCCGACCTTTCCCTGAGGGTTAACACCGTTAACTTTTTGATGATGTGCCTAACATTATACTTACATGGCTTTTTGACATATTAAAAATGAAATATTAAAATTATTTCGCCTTTAAAATTAACAGTGTTAACTTGGGAATAGATAGTTTTAGCATATCAAAATATAAGGACTCAATTGAAAAAAAAAAAATATAAGGATTTGATTTAAAATTGAAATAAACCACAAGGACTTGCAAATTACTTTTCTCAAAAGGTAATTATTAACCAAGACCATAGGATATAATATTAATAATAAATATTTTATTAAGGTGAGCACAATATGCTATGTTTCTTGGCTAAAAAAATAGCAACCAAGCGGCCCAGATTCTTTTTACACAGAAAATGTTGTCATGTGTTGCCGGTAATTAGTGGGTGCGGCTACTACTGGGTCATGTTTGATTTTTCTAAGCTTTAAATGTAATGTTTTTTTATTGGGTAGGTATACACGATTAGATGTGAGTTTCACTTTTAATTAATGGGTAAAACAGTTTTAAATCACTAATTATTGGGTAGGATTTGTTGGATTTGCCAATCTAATTTGAGATTTTCCTATTTTAGGTGGCTTTATAGAGGGAGAAATTCTTATATGAACCTGGAATGCCACCTCATTTGTGGACTGGCCAATCACAACTCAACAGCGCAAGAGCATTTTAATCTGACGTGGCAAATTTTTGTGTAAGGCAAAAATAGAAAAATAAATAAATAAAACAATTCACTAAAAAAAATCACGCAGACCCTGTTAACTTTGTCCTTTCCCGTGCTGTGATGTCTCCATCTCCCCCAAACCCCATTTTGCCGCCACATCATTGAGAGTGAACGATTGCTTGTGGTGGGCACCAACGCTGCTGCTACCGGAATCGACGTTCCTAAAAGCATCGGAATTCCATTTCAATTTGTGTTTGAGTTTTTAAAACTATGAATTTTAAATGGCAGGAAGAACCCAGATCTGTTTGATGAACTTGCTAAAGGCCAAAGCCCCACTGAACTACAAAAAATAAATGCAATTAAGAATGTGAGATATTGATTTGACAGGTACTAGAGATTTTGGTGATTCGCACAAGAAGTGGGTGGAATCAAAAGGCTTATGAAATATCTAGAGGATGGTTCTCGTCCCTTGTAAGTCCAAAGCCTTGAACTATACTTAGATAAGTATTGATGAGGAACCAAGCAAAACCAAGGTGAGGAGAGAATATGAATATGATCCCAAGAAGAGGAATAGATGACTTCGACACCATGGATTTTTCGCTGCCGATGATGATGCGGCGAAGTTGGGCTGGGGCAGGTTCAACGGGTTTCGAAAACAATTCTTGAGAAGTTTTTCTTTTCAATTAAGAGCTTTATTTTGGAAAAAAAAAATTCGAATTGCTTGAGATGAGTTAGGCTGCCAGCTAAGATAATAATGAATTGAGTTGTTGAGTTGTGACTGCCCAGACCACAGATGAGGCGGCACTCCAGGTTCATTCGAGAATTTCTCTTATAGAGGATACTTTTTTCCAAATCAATCAAATATAATTAGAAAAGAAAACAGCCATGCAATGAATGAACTTTTAGACTTTTCAACAAATAATAGCGGCAGGGTCAAAGTAAATGAAGATAAAAACAGACCTTACCTATAATTTTCTTTATTTACACATACTTAATGTATTAGCGGCCGGAGGAGGCAAATGGTTCTGTAAAAGTCAAAGAAGCAATAGAAGTTTGGGCAGTAGGAAAATTAGAGGATAATGAAGAATTGGCTTGACCAGACCAACCACCGAAATTTCTAGACTTGATTAAATCCAATAAGTAATCAGGCAACTGAGAATCTCCATCTAAGAATTGCACAATACTAGAAATAGTAGGCCTAGCTGAAGCAATAGGATGTGAACAAAGCAAGCCAAGTGTAAGCACCAATTTAGCTTCATCCACCACATATTCACCTCCTAATCTGCTATCCACTACTTCACAAATGTCTCCTTTATCCCAGCAATCCAAAACCCATTCGATCAACAACACTTTCTCCGGTGAAGTCTGAGTTTCGACTGGCCTTCTTCCACAAGCAATCTCTAACAGCAAAACCCCAAATGAATAGATATCAGTACCTGTGCTTGATTTTCCACTATGCACAATTTCTGGGTCTATGTAGCCTGGAGTTCCTGCAACATGAGATGTTTGAGGATCATTTCCATGGTCACATAGCTTGGCCAGGCCAAAATCTCCAAGTCTAGCATTCATGTCATTGTCAATCAGTACATTGGCTGATTTGATGTCTCGGTGGACGACAACCTGAACCCATTGCTGGTGAAGATATAAGAGTGCAGAAGCCACATCTTTGATGATCTTGAATCTATGTTTCCAGTTGAGTATGTTGTTGTTGGGCAATCGGTAAAGGAACTTGTCCAAACTTCCGTTAGGCATATAGTCATAGACTAAGAATAGTTCTTTTCTTCTTCTGCAGTAACCAAGAAGTCTTACCAAGTTTGGATGCCTGAGACGGCCGATGGTTGAGATTTCTGCCACGAATTCTTTCATCCCTTGTTTTGAATCATGAGAAATTCTTTTCACTGCAATTTGAACATTGGAAAATGGTAGAATTCCTTTGTATACCCTACCAAAACCACCTCTGCCAAGAAGTTGACCCTCTCTAAAACCTTTTGTTGCAATGAATAAGTCCTTGTAAGTGAACCTATGAGGCCCATACAAGATTTGCCAATCTTCCAGAACTTGAATGAATTTTCTTCTCCTTATAATCATAACCACACCATAGATCAAGATTAGAAAGATAACAGCACCCACTAGTGATAATATAGTTATCAACATTTTCTTGTGGACTCTCCCACCTCCACCCATGTCATTTGGATCTAAAAGTCCAGGAATGTCAGGAAGGCGAGAAAGATGAATCTCCTGAGCTTGACCGTTCATCCTGAAACTCCAACCCAATATATAATGAGATGAATTTGACCCGCTAGAGGATGTGAATCCAACATACATAACCTCAAAGAAATAAGAAGAAAGATCTCTTTTCAGTGTGACAAGAGGGGTCTCAGGTTTAGGCATGTTTATTCGATGAATTGTAACACTGAGTTTCTGATCTGTACTATTATATTCAACCCAAACCTGAAACGGTTCTCCACTTGAGAGATCTATCTTTCTGAAGAGACCACGATCAGTATAATAACCTGCAGAAGATTGATTGGCAGATTCCAAACTATTGATATCAATACCAAGATGGTTATCATCAATATCACCAAACTGAAAGTCCTGGTCAGTGTCGAGCTCTACTGCTACAATATGATTGGAACTTTGACCATCGGAGGTGCCGTTGAAGAGGCCAAGATATTGGTTTGGCTGAGCTTGAGGTATAAATCTAGTAGGCGAGATAGCGAAGGCGAGTCCATGGCCATGAAATTTAGGATCGGTGGCTACTATTGCAAAGATGAAAGTGGTGGAGAAAGAGAAGACAGAAGTAGTATTGGAATTCTTGAATTGAAGAGGAAGATTGTAAAAGACTTGCGCAGCTTCACTTCGGCCACCATCGGCATGTATTTCGTGTGTTGACATGTTGGAATTTTTGAGCTCCTGATCACTGGCCGCTCCCAACTTGAAGAATCCATCAAACATGAATCCGACATCACTCATGTTCTTGTCGGAATAAGCTATGTTCAGGTACAAACACAGCATGAAGATGGTGATAGACATGGTCGGTTTCCTCAATAATGTGGAATTTTCTGTTTTCTGGTTTGAAGAGAAGGATCCTATGTTTATTTTCAACAAAAGCTTTCATATATAAGAAACAAATAAAGAAGAAAATGATTAGTTTCCGGTTCTTGGTGGATACGTGGGTACCGGGTTTAATGGCTGTGACTCATTGTTGACTTGAACACATATGGATAGGCTCTTTCTTCTTTAATAATCAATATCAGTGTCTTATAAAAATCAACCCGTTTCGTCTGACTAATTCAATTGATTAACTTAATAAAGGATCATAGCCATATTTTTAATAACTTCAAAAGAGTGGGTTAAGATGCAAATTTGCCTCACCCACAAGTCTTTTTAGATGCAAATTTATCCCAAATATTTTAAAATTATAACAATTTTGTCCCCTACTATTAAAAATATTAACGCTTAACGGCACTATTAACAGTTAACGTTATGGAAAGGGGACAAAATTGCTATGATTATAAATTTTTAGAACAAATTTGTACCCAAAAAAAATTTCAGGCGTCCAATGCTCTTACATGAAAACTTTTGAAATAAATTTATGCACCTTAACCTTAAAAAAATCTAAATCTAGATTTATATTTCTTTTACTCCTCTCACACATGAAGCCGCCTCTTCCTCTTGGTTTTTATTTCCCTTTTCCTTCATCTACCTCTCACATCACATTATCCACCATTTTTCTGTTTTGGCTTCTTGCTCTTGCCTTCTGCGTGCTCCACTGTCCTTTACCAACCACAATTTTTGTTTCAAGCACTATGGGACCAACAATGGCCGCACAAGGGATAATCTAGTCTCAATGGTTAGTTTTTGTTAAATTATATGTTAGCCTATAACTTCAGTTAGCAAAATAAGAATGAATAGTAATATGGGAGAGGTTTTATATTACTTACATTTGTTCATATGTAATTTAGATTGCAAATGATGTATGAGGATGTGATATTTTGTTGAATTAAGAATGAAGTTGAGATATATGCAAGGGCCATAGAATATACTTTATTAATATAATTATAATTGGTTTGACTTTATACACTTTGTGGTTTTACATTTATGCTTTCTTTTAAAGTAATAATGATTTAAAGAAGACTTTGATTGTTTTCCAATTGGTTACTTACAATTCTGTACTATATGGATTATATTTTTCCGTGAATTTTTTTATAAAGTATTTCTGTTTGGATGAATATTAATTTAAAACCAAGCCCTCTAAATACATGTATTTTAGAGAGGAAAAAAATACCACTTCTTTTATCCATATATAAGTTTATTAAAAACAATTTTGTTTGATACACTTTTTAGTACTAAATGTGGACAACTTTAGTTCATCACGTGTTGAGGAACTAATCCCTTCCACTAATTAAAAGTAGAGATTGTTTAATGTAATAATGTCCGCTTAAAGGAGGAATTAACATTTTCATGATTTTCAAAATACATCTTTTTCCAACCAAAAAAATTAGAGTATTACATTAAAAATAAACTAAAAAGTGAATGCAACAAAGTCAAAGTCACAAATAGATGTGTTGTTCTTAATGAGACCCGCAAAAATTTGAAATCATTTTGTGTCGTTAGCACCAAAGGCAAGAGTCGCGTGACGTGCATCATCACGAAGACTTTGGATCAAGTGGATCAATGGAAAAGAAACAAAACAAACTCCAATTCTGCTGCGTTAATATTACTTATTTTGACTATTTGATACAAACATATATATATATATATATATATATATATATGTACTCCCTCCCATTTACAATATGTCACTTTAACTAATTATAAAAACAAAAAATAATAGTTAGCTCATTAAATTTATTTCACAATGATTTTTTTAAAATTTTAATCATTTTAAATGAAATTGTGAAGAAAAGGGAAAAGCACAAAAAATTGTATTTGAACATTAATTACAAAAATAAAATTAAAAAATAAGTATTAATTACCTTTTAGATGAATTATACCTAGAATCAAATTATTCTTCTAAAATCGGTTGTGATATCGACAATAAGGGTGTTTGGGTGGAAACGAATTTATAATTTTAAAAATAATTTTACAGTATACGAAATAAATATGTATAAGAGTTTGTTTGAATTTACAGAAAAGTACTTTTAAAAGTATTTTTATGATTTTCCAAATACTTCGGTGGTGTTGAATTTAATTCTGAAAGGTGCACGCAACCATAAACACGTGTTCCCATTTTTTTGGGGGCTGGGGTCGCTATCTTTGTTAGGGTTTTGCTCCAATGTGTTTGGGCTTGGCCCTTCTGTATTTCATCATGATGGACTGAGTTTAAGCACACGATCACGCAGCACAGGCTTGAACTTTGAACCCAAAAGAATTCATTTTGTTTTAATATGCCTTTAAAGTGTGCTCAGTGAGCAACTTCTTTTCATCCAAACAACTTCCCAATTGCTTAGGCCGTAGGGTTATTAATTTCTAATGCATTTAAAACATTTGCCTCTAATGTTAGGACTGGATCGGGGAGGCCATTTTATTGGGTGGAAGGTCAAGAATAAACTACAAGGACCCATATCTTGAAAAACAAATCCTAGGAACCTTCACGGAGCTTGACTGAAACTATAGGACCCATGACATAGTTTGCCCGATCAAGAACTGCATAGAACCAGCAATTTTATCTTTGTTCTTTAAGTTAGAACTGCTGTGTGCATAATTTGACTGTATTCAATTTATGTGGTTCTATGCATGATTGTGGGGACAGTCTGTATATATGCTGTTTAAATTTCCTTATGTATAGCTAATTATTTAGTTATTTTTGTTAGACCAATTATTTAGTTATTGACAGATTTATTTTGTCATTTGATGCGGCAATTGGATTTTGTGTTGAAATTAACAGCTCACGTCTGCGATTGAGGTAAGGTCTCAAACAACTTATTTACTAGTACCTCTCCTCATCTAGTTTTTAATATAAAAACTAGATAAATAATTTACGAATATTAAAAAAATTAATTAAATTAATTATTTGTAATAAATGAGTATTATCTTAAAATATTCTTGTTAGTCATGTGCATTAGAACAGAAATCCTTCAACATATACAATTACCATGTGGACTATTTTGAGATAAATGAATAAATATGTGAGATAAAGTGAATTAAAGTCTTAGGATCAAATTAAATCTCTAATTAGCTCTTATTTATGACTGAAGGCAATAATATTAATGGTGATGACGATAATATAAAGTTGGCAATCATGGAAAGGTGATCCCAATAATGAGTAACAATAGGATAAGTAATTTTAATATTATAATTTTTGAAAATAATTGAAGAATAAATCTCTTGACACACACACATATATATAGCGATGTGGGAATCTTACATTTCTGCTGCTTAGACTAAATAAGAATAAATGTGGCCAAAAAAATAAGAATAAATATATAAGAATGCAGTATTACCTACCATGAGAATCTAACAGTTTGAAACGAATATAAAGAAAGTCTATCACAATTTCTTGGAGATTCCTTCTGTATTTTGATGAAGGAAATTCAACATAACGTAACTCAGAGAACATATTCTCGTCATGAAGCGCATCGATGGTGAAATATTTTATTTATTCATGGTTGAATTAATAATTGCATAATAACGCTAGACTATAAAGAATAAAGGAAAAATACCTACAAATATTCTTAAGAATAATATAAGCTGATTCATCCCCCCTTCCACTCCCCCTTTTACTTCTATTTTTATTATTCTCAGAAATGCTCTAATGCCTTATGCCCCCACTAGGAGTCAAATTTCTCAGAAAGACATAGCATCATTAGGCTTCATTTTCGAGCCAGATGGCAAGTGCATATACATGAACTTGATGTTCTATATACAATTCTTTTTTTGTTTGTTTCTAGAATGTTTGTTGCACAATTTTTATAGTCATGATAATCGGAATAATTATTATATTCTATATTTTTTAATTTTATATTAACTTCTCAATATATTTTAGTAATTTATTATTAACAATATTAAACTGTGACTTTATATATATTACTTATTTCTCCGCTAATTTACTTTAACTTATAAGTGGACATATACGAACATATTAATATTTGTTTTTATCCATTTGATCAAGATTTGTTTTGTCTAGTAACTTGGACCAACTCTTTGTTCCTAATTTGTTTATAACAAGCATGCTCAATTTGCCTGATTGCCTCCAGTGGAGGCTGAGTCTGCTTCGGACAGGAATCTTTAAATTGGATACCAACTTAAAATCTAGCCAGTAATGAGGCATCATGGATGATAAAAAAATTTCTGAATCAATTTTCACTTTTTTAAGAAAAATTGTGATTGTTTTGTGGATTTCTTGGTGATGGTGTTCTATACAAAATCCCAAACAATTTATTCATTAACTAAGGTCCTGGTGGATTTTTTTTTTTTTTGGCATCATTGTAGGGTGATCCTATTAGCAAAAACTAAAAATTATTAAATGATATATTAGAAAATTTAGCTTGTAATCTATGTATTACCTCCAACCCTTAATATAAGACCTTGTTTGACTTTTATTTTGATCTTAAATATAGGACCCCAATCCACTTTGTCTCTCATATTTATTTTTTTTCAAGATAGTCCTTCTAATAATGATAGTTTTAGCTAATAAACTTGATTAACAAGGATATTTTAGGAAAAACAACACATATTTATTATAAATAACTAACTTAATTTATTTTTTTAATGTACTCAAATTAGTCAACTGGCTTTTATATTTAGGATCGAAGGTAGTATAATATAAAACATACCCAAAAAGTCTCGCTGTGCACGAGTATAATATATCTCATTTCCTGGGGGCAAATGTGTGTGTGTGTTATTTCCCAGCCTCTTCACAACATACAGACATAATATTAGTGTTCTTTTAATGGCCCATCACCCCATGGATGCTTTAGAAATGTTTAATATGTGCTTGAGGGTAAGGATGGACCGCAAAAAGTACGCATCCGCATTCAATGCTCACCAGGTGATAAGCACCCATCGCCTGCTGAACAATCTGAGTCTTCCAGATCTAATATAGATGGTTCAGATTTAATATTTTTAAATA